GTCGGGTTCGTGATGGTCGCCACCATCGGATACTTCACCCTCTACGCCAAGTCCAAGCCCGGAACCACCCCCGGCGAGGTCGCTGGGGTGATCGCCGGATCGGGAAAGCCCAAGTCCAACTAGGCTCAAATCCCGTTAATTTGGATGCATGCTAGATGATGGGACGGTCTGTTTGTTATCGAATTATTATTTTTTTGTTATTTTATGTTTAGTTTTCAGTTGCGTAACGGCGCGCAATTTTTTGTTGCCACCTTTTTATTTATTCTTTGCTTGATTTGATCTTAGGGTGAGTTTTCAAGCATTCAATGTGGGAAAAACTCAAGACATATTATTAATTGCTTGTCATTTTTAATTTCTTTTTCATGGGTATGTCTTTTCTTTTGAATGGAAAAAAAAAAAATTCCAAAGTACAGCCCTTCGATTGAAGTCATAATTTATTTCTTCTTTCGGTAGGAAACTTGTAAACCTAGCCCACAGAATTCCTACAAAGAGAGGAAAAAGATTCTTAAACTATAAGAAAGCCCTTTTAAAACTCGTACGAGGAGACACAATGTCTACCGCGCACACGAATCACTGTGATCTTCCGTGTTGAACCATTACCTAATGAAGCGTGCAAAGATGAATTCTCGATCACCAATTTTGAAAAATTTCTTTTGTAACCTTTCAGAAGAGAAAGAAGTTATGGCAGCATCTAAAATAGTCTTAAGTTAACAAGGCATATGCTAAAACAGGCAAAAAATGAGATTAAGGAGTCCATTAAGAGGTTGATATCAGGTTATCTGCTGGTTGCAAGTGGAAGGGAAGAAATCTATAGTTGTTGCTACAAAAGATGCTTATATATTGTTTCTATCTACAGAATTTCGCAAGCGAGAATGAAACTTCAGATTGTTTCGCCCGCAAGCTCATTCTCCTCAGCATGTTATTCGTATATGATGCCAATCACAAAAGAGGCTGCTGAAAAAGCAGTTTCATTCGGTTACAAATTTTGCTTTGCTTCTGAAATATATACGTGCAGTTTGTAGAGCTAGCAAAGGAAGTTCTGCTTGTTTGAAGGTTGTGAATATTACTGTTTTGAGTATGTGGCGTTTTGAGTTAAAAGGAAGTGAGGTTGATTTTACTTTTGGTTTGAACGATATACCCCCCCACCAAAAAAAAAAAAGCCAAAAAAAGGGAGGAAAAAGAAATAGGGAAGGCAGGAATAGGCATATGATAAAACAGCAAAAACAGAACGTCCAAGGACATGAATTGTCATAACATAATAAACAGACTAATGAAGATCCTAGAATTTGCTGGCAGGGGATTAAGTACGTAGCTAGATTTGTCATTTAAATTTGAGAACCATTATAAAACCATGAATCGTATGTACTAACAACTACACATATTTTGCTTAGCTTCAAGTGCAGGAGAATCAGCAAGTACATAGAGCATAATGTGCATAGATTATTCAAATAAGAAGGGTTTAATGAAGGATCACCCATCTCTGCAAGTCTTTGTTCCAAGATCCATCCCTAACTAAGTTAGAAACTATGATAACATTCTGCAGATAATCAACCAGTCTTTCATGATGGTACTCATACCCTTGATTCCACTGATTCATCATCCTGGTTAAGCTCAACTAGAAAGATAACTCAATTATGTGCTTTGAAGTGAAAAAGAGCTCACATTGTTGAAGCTCGAGCTAATCCTGCAAATCTAGAGTGATTGTTTTTCAAAAGCACATGTGGGTTTCCTTGCTCAACCTGCAAGCAAAAAGTGAGGGATGTCATCTTAAAAAACAGAAAGAAAGAGTCTTTCCTCAAGAGGACCTGGGAAAGTTACTGAGAGCGTCTGCTTGTTATGGGGGAGTTCAATGAGTAATCACACAATTCATACGAATTTCTTTCCCAAGTGATGCAGGAGTTATCCAACTTATTAATTCAAAAAATTATCTGCTACAAACCAACCATGCTAACATTTTACCAATGAGATTGTATGTTAGGAGTGCAGAAGATAGGAACATTGTTATGGTCAAACGAGTGGATGTAGACACAAGATTTTAAATGAAGGATGTTGGATCAAGGTATCCCATGTTATATATGATTCATGATGGAAGACAGATGAAGACATGAAATCAATATCAGCATCATAGCAGAATAAAGACATATGTCTTATATGTTTGTTATTGATAATTCTAACTTATATCACATATCATATTTGTCACACAGAGATGACGGCAAGGAACAATAATTGAATCAATATTGTACACAATCTCATTATTTTTCATGGGAACAATGACAAACTACATAGAATCATTTCATTTCAGAATTTTAAAAGTTTAAGGTCTTTTTAGATATAATTAGAAGGCATGATCATTAATCTGATTTTTTTTGAGTACTGTCAAGCTTAACAGGAGGAAACCAATTCATAGATGGGTAGGATAGTCTTGATAGTTCGTAATAAATTTATAATCAATCCTACATAGTAGGATTTCCAAATTAGAAATGTGCTGCATAAGTAACACAATTATGATTAGGAAAGGCTTCAATGATGCATACAACTGGGATAAACATCACAATTTCTACAAGAACTGTTAAAGAAGAAAACAAGCTATAGAAAGTTTGTAGTACAAAAGCTGGAAAAAATGTAATATTTCACTGCAACGTATGCACTTAAACTGAAAACTTGGAGCACTTACCAGTACACCATGGTCAAGAACTAGAATGTTGTCCATGTCCAACACTACAGATATACGATGAGCTATTGTGAGGACTGTCATGCCTTTGCATTCATTAGAAATAGTATTTTGTAGTACTGATGCAGTCTGAGTGTCAATATTTGCTGTGCATTCATCCAAACAAAGTATCTGCATGCATCATATTCAGTAAAGTTACGGACATTTTCAATATCATACAAGGATAAAGCCAAGTAAGAGGACTAGAAACACCGGTAAAAATTTATTTCTGCTAGCTATTTGTAATAGTATACAGTGAACCCATGTATCATAAGATTTTATAACTGTAACAAATATGGCAAAGGGAAAAAAAGATCGTGCATTCAACAACATGCAATCTATAAAATGGTGAGAAAGAGCAGAATTTGTTTGCCAGAAATGGATGAGTGGATTACCAGCGCTAAAATAACATCTGTATGCGCAGAAAACACATGCACACTGAATGAGAAAGCCCAAAATACATGCAAACACATCACTGATCATGCATACACCGCGTGTACCCGAATGAACATGAGAATTAACCCTGAACCAGTTTGTGTCAATGTCATCTACTACGAAACTCAAAACTTTTGCATGGATGTTTACATTGTTCTTCTGCTCAAGAAACACGAGAAGCAATTCATGGATTGAATTTTTCATCCATATTCTCTGTGAAAACCAATCAATAGGACTTTGTGCAAATTACACGTGACGTAACAACTACATAGGTGGGTCCTTTAGTAAGAATTCATGGTAGGAGACAGAAGAAGATTTGAACAGAGGAAGGATGAGAAGGTACAGATTGTTGGATCTTCAACGCTCAAATGCCAAGTGTCAAAGAGTCAGAGAATGAAATTAAGCATAGAATGGGAGAAAGGGATAGCGGGGGGAAATCAGGGAACTCAGCCCTCATTAATACCACAAATGAAAAACTTCACGTATTAATCAACCAAGGCTACCCTCAAAGAATTACACTAACCCCTTTTCCTTAGAAACTCCAACTGAAAATGGTAAACACTAATCAAATCAGCTAAGCATCTACCTATTTTTACCTGAAGGGTAGAAATAAGAGAGAAAAATGAAGACATTAAATGTAAATTAAATACATTAAAGAAAAGATGAAGATAACTACTAACTAAAAGGTTAAAATAAGCATCAAGTCATCCTCAAAGTTCTAATTGATTTCAATTCAAATAAAAAAGTAAGATAAATATAAACCTTAAATCCAATCACTCATGTAAAAATTAAAGGTAAAGATAAAAAGTCCTTGTCTGAAAGATAAAACTAATAAGACATGTTATCCTAGTCCTAGTAATGAAAAAATGAAAGTATAGTCTATTTAATGTTGATTGATTGTATAAGTGGTGAAATAAAAAGAATATTTTTAGGACATCTCAATGGATACACGTAAGCAGTGGCATGCATGGATGAATACCCTATTTTTATGTGTTTCTAAGAAGATCTAAGGAATTACCGTATTAAATTCACTAAAAGAAACTACCTTGGAAGATTTGATGAGTGCACGAGCAAGGCATATAAGCTGCTGCTGGCCAACTGAAAATGAGATCCCAGAATCTTTCACATGAATGTCAAGTCCTCCGGCCAATTCTACCTCTTCTTTGATATGACACTTCTCAAGAGTCTCCCAAATTTTTATATCACTCGTCTTACCAAGTGGATCTAGGTTGTCTCTGTAATATGCAAAAGATAGATAGCAGCATTTAGTTTGAAGATTCAATTCATAGAAATCCACAACGTGGAACATATTGTTGCCATTTGGGAAAAAAAAATGGAATTACACTCCAAGAAAGAGCCTTTTTGAACTTAAATTTCATACAACTCAATATGTGTTAATACTGTCAGTCCATCTCACATAATGCTCATCTAGTATACCATCCTGTAACGAAAGAAAACACACTTTGGATACATCCCAGTTGAGTTGCATATCGAAAATTTGCAGTAGGTAATAGAATTGTAGGCCCAACATGGAATGAGGACCAGCTAGATACACAGTTTGACATAACTATTTATCTATAATACCTTAAGGACCCTTCAGACAGGAACGGACTTTGAGGAACCACTGCCATACGTCCACGAAGATCTGTGACTGCAATATCAGCCACATCAACACCATCTACTAATATACGACCATTACAAATGGGAGTAAGCCGGAAAAGGGCATTCATCACACTGGATTTTCCAGCACCTGTCCTTCCGACAATTCCAATCTATACCATTTAACTGGCTATCAGATGAAGAAAACATCTATGAACTAGTCGGAACATAGCAGTGAAAAGGCATATTATATCATGCAATAAGGAAAAAAAATTCAACATACACAATGCAATTAAGATGAATAGGCTTCACAGAGCACTAACCTGCATGCCTGCAGAGATGTTAAATGACACATCATTTAAAGCTGCTGGCAATGATGGTTTGTATTTAAGTGTAACATGTACAAATTCAATATGCCCTTGAAAAGGCCAATTTGGATGTGCAGTTTGGCTGCCTTGAAATCCTTCTTGCGGGATGTCCATGTACTGCAGAAAGCAGTCAAGTTGCTGATCGATGATGAAAGTACATGAATGCATAATGGAAATATAATCGCTGTACCTGAAGCACTCTCTCAATAGAAACCATTTCCTTCTCTGTCTCTGTGAAACTAGTCAGAAAATTGCTCAGTGAAGAAACCACCGGTGCTGCATAGGACAGGCCTAAGCCAATCTACAATTGGACAAATCATCTCTTGATGTTATACAGGTTATGATTAGAGATCAATTTTTTAATCATCAATTTATTTTCAATTCTGTAGTCCAAAGCAAAACCCAGTTTAGGTTACAAGGATGCTTCATTAGACTGCTTACCAATCCAGGTGTACCCAAGCTAAATGGGAGATCACTTCGGCAACCAATGACAGCCATCAAGGCAATGAATGAAACAACAGAAGCTGCCAATAACTAAAACAAATAGCTGGTCATTACACAAACAATAGAACCTGAAAAAACTCCTTTGGCTAATAAGAGTTGACAAGGTGATGTTTTACTGTTAATCTATCCAATACAAGTAACATTGAAACTAAAGAAATGGATTTCCTGTGTAAATGGGTAGGTGCCACTACATGAATCTGTCAGGTTACTATATGAAGCATGAATAGTACCTGGAGGCGCAAAGAAAGCCACAAGCTTGCTGTCAGCTCTGCGTAGGAAGTACGCTGATATAAAGCAACATGCTCAGTGAATCTCCCCATAAATAAATCCTGCATGTTAGATTAACCATTTCATTATCCTAAACAAACATGACCAAAATCTAGTATATCTTATGCAGAGAGGAAACAGATTTGGTTTCTGACTCCTAGACAATTGCCCAATATAACATATGAATTAGAAAAGATATCTTCATGGTACTTAATACACCCACATGTGTGTTGGTCCACCTCATGTGTTCACGTGGGCCAGCAAGAAAAAAAAGGGTGGAGATCACATGAGACAGCAATCAAAGAACGAAAGATTGGGTGGGCATTTTTGCTCTGTCAAAAGTTGCGGCTCGTCTCGTTTCTTTCTCTTTGTTAAACACGTGGGTCGGCAAGTAAGTAGAAGGGCGACAGGAAAACAAAGAAGGTCAGCAAAGGGACCCACGCACTTTTGACAAATTGAAAGATGTTGAACGAAATTCATGGCGAATTTCGAGGAGAGAGGAGGCCGGTTTCTTCTATAAATAGAAGACGCTTCGTTCATTTTTCAATCAGAGGAGAGAGGAGGCCGGTTTCTTCTATAAATAGAAGACGCTTCGTTCATTTTTCAATCATCCGAAAAACAAGAAACAACAAAGTGAGAGCCTCAGAAACAGAGAGTTTATCTGAGAGAGAAAAATAGAGAGCCAATTTGTGAAGTTCTATCCACAAATTGAAGTTGTGTTGTTAGCCAATTTTGTGAGAGATCCACCTAAGAGTGAAGTGTGTAACCCCATTATTATTATAGTGGAAGTTTTTAAGTGGCCTACGGGTCCCGTGATTTTTACCTCTTTTTGGAGAGTTTTTCACGCTAAAAATCTTTGGTGTTATTTTTGTCTCATTTAGTTGGGGAAATTATCCTGAGATTTGTCAATCTTTCTCAACAAAGTGGTATCAGAGCCAGGTCGGCTCAGGAGGCAAGAAAAGGAGATCATATACCACACTGGTATATACGTATATACAGTGACTATTCATACATACGTCACTATTCATCACCGGAGCACTATTCATCACCGGAACATTGTTCACTTTGGAACATTGTTCATGTTACTGTTCATGGGTGCTATTCATTGACCCGAAAAATTTCAAGCTTGGCGAAACTCGTTGACTAGCCAGTCAAATGGAGGAGAACACCAACACCGGTAATATGGTCAAGCTGACTGCATTTAATTATGCAATTTGGAAGCTGAAGATAGAGGATCTTTTGTACATTAAAGATCTGTGAAAGCCAATTGTAATGCCAAAGGAGAAAGCAGTGACTACAACAGGTGACAAAACAACTAGCACCTCGGAGACCACATCAGATGCTGACTGGGTCGTGCTAAATCGAAAGTGTGCTGCTCAAATCAGACAATGGATCGACAAGAGCATTTTCCAAAATTTTGCTAATGAACATGATGCTCACGTTCTTTGGCAAAAATTAGAGAAAATGTATGCAAGGACAACCGCACAGAATAAAGCTAATCTGATGCGACGATTAGTCAATTTGAAGTATAAAGACGGGAGCAGCGTATCAGAACACATGAGTGAGTTCCAAGGCATCGTAGATCAGCTCAACTCTATGAAGATGACCGTAGACGACGAGTTACAAGCACTGTTGATGCTGAGTTCTCTACCAAAAAGCTGGGACACTCTAGTTGTGTCAGTTAGTAACTCTGCTCCTGACGGAAAGCTTACCATGGACATGGTAAAAGACAGGATGCTGAACGAAGAGTCTCGACGAAAAGATGAAGGATATGCTCCTGAAAATGAAGCACTTGTTATAGAAAGACAAGGCAAGCAAGAATAGAGAGGAAGAAGCAAAAATCCCCGTAACCAAAATCAACAAAGAGGACGGTCGAAGTCTAGATCGAGGCATGACAAGAAGTGTCATCATTGCGACAAGCTAGGATACTTCATTCGAGAATGTCGAAAATTAAAGACGGAAAAATCCAGAAATCAAGAGTCAGAAACCCGAACAAATGACACTGCAACTGTTACCGAAAAAGTTGTCATTGTTCGAGATGCTGATTATGTCAATCTTGCATGTCAAGATTCCATATAGGTAGTTGACTCAGGTGCTTCCTACCATGTCACCTCATGACAGGATTTCTTCTCAACCTACACTCAAGGTGATTTCGGACAAGTGAGGATGGGAAATGATAATGCATCCAAAATTATCGGCATCGGTAAGGTTTATTTAGAAACTAACCTTGGATGCAGGTTATTTTTGAAAGAAGTGAGGCACGTTCCTGATATCCGCCTCAAGTTGATCTCCATCGGAATGCTTGATGACGATGGCTATAGTAATTATTTTGGTGAAGGAAAATAGAAGCTTACCAAAGACAACCTGGTAGTAGCCAAAGGCAAGAAAGATACAACACTTTACCTCACAAAAGCCAGGCTATGTAGAGGAGAAGTAAATACCACCCGGAAAGAAGTTCCCACCGAGTTATGGCATAAACGGCTCAGCCACATGAGTGAAAAGGGTCTCAGAATTCTTTCTAAGAAGGAGCTCTTGCCAGGAATGAAAGGTACACCCTTGCGTACTTGTGTTGATTGTATTATGGGAAAACAACACAGTTGCATTTCGTAGTTCCCCACCATCTAGAAAAGCAAATATTCTAGATTTAATACACACAGATATTTGCACAATGAGTCATAAGTCACTAGGAGGTGCTCCTTATTTTGTGACATTTATTGATGACCACTCTAGAAAAGTGTGGGCCTTTGCTTTGAAAACTAAAGATCAAGTGCATGAAGTCTTTAAGGAGTTTCATGTAAAAGTTAAAAGAGAAACTGACAGACGTTTGAAGTGTGTACGTGCAGACAATGATGGCGAGTATTGCGGACCATTCGAGAAGTACTGCAGAAGTTTCGGCATCAGGTTGGAAAAATCGGTACCAAAGACACCTCAACACAACGATGTAGTAGAAAGGATGAACAGGACCATTTGTGAAAGAATCAGATGTATGCTCTCAAATGAAAAATTACCAAACTCCTTTTGGGGGGAGGCAATGAGGACAACAGTCGATTTAATCAACCTTTCTCCATCAGTTCTACTGAACTATGACGTACCAGAAAAAGTCTGGACCGGGAAAGATGTTTCTTACAAACACTTGAAAGTATTTGGCTGTAGGGCATTTGTTCACATCCCAAAAGACGAGAGGTCCAAGCTGGATGGAAAAGCTAAGCAATGTATCTTTTTGGGGATATTCTCATGAAGAGTTCGGCTACAGATTCTGGGATCCTATTAACAAAAGGATTGTCAGAAACAGAAACGTGGTGTTTCTTGAAGATCAGACGCTCGAGGATTTTGAAAAACCGACGAAGCCACAATCAGATGAAATTCCAGTGAATCTGGAACCAGTCTCTCCACCAACAAATTCTGATGAGGGAGCTACACCAGATACTGATGATGTTCCACCAGCTCGCAGTCCAGAACCAGAGCAAGTTCCTGAACAAGTCCAACCAGAAGCACAGCTAAGGAGATCCACTAGAGAGCGACAACAAAGTCGTAGATATTCTCCTAACGAGTATGTGATGCTCACTGACGGGGGAGAACCGGAGAGCTATGGCGAAGCTATCATTGACAAGCACAAGATTGAGTGGTTAAAAGCCATGCAGGAAGAAATAAAATCTCTACATGAAAACCACACATTTAACCTGGTGAAATTACCACAGGGAAGGAAAGCTCTCAAGAACAAGTGGGTGTACAGGATTAAAAGTGAAGAAGGCCGCTCGCAACCACGTTACAAAGCAAGACTGGTTGTGAAAGGATTCGAGCAGAAAAAGGCGTTGACTTTGATGAAATATTCTCACCAGTGATCAAAATGTGTCACGCCCCGGTTCCAAAATGCAATAATTTGGAACGTGACTCGGCCGGCAATGTAACCATACGGTCACATTCATGCCTCTAGATCATCCTGCACACATATATATTACCAAAGAAGTACTACATAGAACATGTAACTAAGATAACAAGGACAAAAGATAGATAAAGACATCTCTGAAAATACAAGTTTTCTTACATGTCCACAACTACTCAAAGTAGGAAAGAGAAAAATACATCTTAATCTGAAGTACCACAAGTGATTACAAGAAAGCCTAAATAACTGAAGCTGATCACTGTCGCTAGTCTTAATCCTTAAAATACTCTTGGTCCTGCGAAGAAAGAACAGTTCCCGAGTCTGGGGCATGCAAACCCCAGGGGAGTCAGAAAACCCCTAACAAGCATGTAAAATGAGAAAATTGTGCGCGTGTAAGTATAAGTGGTAGATATAAAGAAAAGATAAATTCTAAATTTTCAGTGATAAAAGAAAATGCCTATCTTATAAACTAAAATACGATGAAAACTCAATTAAAGATGACTAGGGAAATTGCTAATTGTAGATAACAATCATGGTCTACCTCAAGCACATATCTTATACCCTATACTAAAATGAGTTAAGATTTAGAAACTCACAACACGAGATGAGTACGTCGAGGGAATAATCCAAACAAGGAAACCCTCATATATACCATATATCTCAAATTATAAATCGCTAAATATTAACTCCCAAAATTCTATAAACAAACAATACAAATATACATCACCAAAACCTCATCCAGGACATGTCGTGCATGCCAAATCTATCACAAAGCATATAAGCACATTATTCTTATTTTACATGTTATTTGAATTAGAGAAGAATATTTTCATGTATATAAATCGGTTCCCCGTAAACCGTCCCGGAAACATGACTTCAAGTCAGGAATTGGCTCTTTGGCCCATGTATATATAACTCAGGATATCAGGAATGCGCATATGCCCGTTTATATACATGTTATATTCTCCGTCTAATTCCCCTTTATAAACCCCATGTTTGTCGATTAAATTTTTAAGTGACTGTGCATGAAATATTGTGCACTAACCACAGAGTTACCGTGGAACGACTTCTGTAAAACTATGAAAATAACCGTGACCCAGAACATGTCTAATCAAGATGGGTGCATCGCCTAATCGATGCTATAATAGTAATAGCCAAGGAAAAAATCTCATATCGGGA